GATTCAGAGGCGAGAGTGCTACAGACTGAGCCAGGCTGACACCTAAAGTGCAATGACGTAAGTATTTGTGTAGGCGATAATGTACAGGTGCCTTGAGGCTCCTGGAGAGTTACTTGGTCCTTGGTAGAAAATTGTAGGTTCTTTCACTGCTGGAGGTTGTGCAAAATATCAGTGACAAAGAATAACAGATCATTTTGTCAGCTCTTCGTTTCCTGTTTTTGCCCCCTCGTTCCTGCTCTTCCCTCTCCCTTCACTTTGCATCATTCAGATAGGGACAAGTGATTCACTTTCCAGCCAATTCTTTTGCTATAGCAGTTATATATAACTTCCTGCTCTCTAAGGTATATGGCTCTAGCCTCTCCTCATAGATAACCCCCCTTCAGCAGCTGTGTTATCAGTCTAGTGCACTAAGGCTGGATATCCAACTTCATTGATTTACACAGTGCAAGGGACAGAAGTCTTGTGTCAATAGAAAACAAGTTTGTTACCCAGGAAAAGAGTTTAGTTCTTTGGATGTGAAAAGTCCATTGAGTGTTCCTGACTGGAGGGCCCATCTGCCAAGGAACATTGTAGCTCAACTCTCTCTGCCTGTGAATAGAGGTTCCTCAGAGGCCACCTGTAAGGCAGTGGTCTGAAGCTATGCTTGAGCTTCTACTGAGTTTAATTGCCTTGAGTTGACATTTCAGAGTGACAAGTGCTCGGGTTCTCAAAGCTATACTGAAGATACAAGTGCTCAGCAAGCTCTCCCAGTATCCTGACGTGTGGGTGACATTTTCTTCAATTCAAAGTCCCGACCGAAAGTCCCCACCAAGTCAGTTTCATTATTTTCTGACCTGGTGGCATTCAGTCTATTTTAATGCTTTTATCTGACATCAATCTTCCAATTAAATATTGCTCAGAATGAGCAAACCTCAGAACCCTACAGCTGAGCGAAGGAGGGGTAGTGTAACCGGGCAGTGTGTGCTTAGTGGAGTCGTGTCCGCGGGCGGGAAGGTGGCAATGGCTAACTTATACTTTGAAATCAGTGCTGTAGTTTGGGGATCAGCCTGGCTCGCTTAGGAGCACTCTCACCTCGGAGTCAGAAGGATGCAAGTACAAGGCCTGCCTGGGGATGTTTTGCGGTCATTGTCCACACTCACACTCTAACGCAGTGCTGGGGCAATGTTGGAGGTGCCGACTTTTGGCTGAGATGTTACACCGATGTCCCGTCTGCCTGTTCAGGTGGATGTTAAAGATGTCAGGAAATTAACTCGAAAAATGAAAGAATGATATTTCTCCCGATGTCATGCTCCAGAATATATATATCTTTGGAGCCCTGTAGCGCAGTAGTTAGAGCACTCGCCTCGCAAGCATAAGGACCTGGGTTTGATTCCCGGGCAGGGCGAAACCTTAGGCAAGTTTCCTTACTCCACACACAGCTCTGTTTATCCCGTAGTAAGTAGGAACCCAGTTGTTAGTCGATTCCCGGGCAGGGTCACTCAATCCATGACTGTTTGCGGGACACTGCTGTGCGTTAACTTGCATCTCCCCGATCCTGAGCAAAGTGGGTGGGAAATACTCGTGAAAAACCTCCATCTGCCAAGAGTCAGCAAATGCTTTCAATGAGCAGCCTGACCCCAGTGTTTAATGGGAGCAAGAGTCTGTTATGAACGGATTACTCTTAACAAACATCACTGAATTGCCAAATGTGAATTGCAGATTCCTGTTATTACGGCTAATCACCCTTCACTTTACAACACTTCAATTACGGAATTCGATTCCAATTAGCATCAAATTAATTTCTAAATTTGCACATTTTATGGCGATGTCTGTTTCTGCAGGAAAAACGTTAAGTCTGGCTGTTTAATCTGTGCAAACGCTTTGAGTAGCTGCCTTTACCTCGCAGTGGGAGAGATTTTATACAAGCGTTTGCCAGCCTGTATCTTTTTGGGGCCAACCGGGTGGCTGACACCTGTGGAAACCCATCACCGTGTTTTAAGAGTCTCCGAACCAAGCTGAGAATTCCCTGCCTCCCACCTACACATGGAAATCCCAGAGTTAGATTGTCGCAATGGAATGCACTCTCTCTCTCTCTCTCGCTCTCCCTGGAGGGACACAGGCAGTTTACCGAATTCCAGAGAGTATGAGGCGCAGGTTGGCAAGAGCCAGGGCTTCGGGGAGCCCAGAGTGTGCGTTGGGGTAAGAGGTAGAGACTAAGGCGAGTGCTCTAACCAACACACTACAGGAATCCACATGAGCTCGCTCACTCACTCACTCACTCACTCACTCACTCACTCACTCACTCACTCACTCACTCACTCACACACACACTCACTCAGCCGCTGGAGCTCAGGACACTATAGGTAAATGTACATTGCCACTTACTGTAGCAGTCACAATAGGATGCAGTTGCAGCTGTATTCTTGCTGACAGTGAGTGAAGTTGTTACTTGAATTGTGTGCAGGGCAGGTTATGTAATAGTGCCTGACAGCAACCTTGAAAGCAATCACAGGACTGACAGCACAAGCAGCTCATTGCAGCTCCCCGTGCCATGGCTAGGATTCAGCCTATCAAGCCTGTGCCACCAGGTTTTTAGATCTTGGCATATCTTTGAATCTCACTGCCTCGACCTTTACCAAACACAGCTCCCACGGCCTCCCTCGTGGCTTCTGACTTCCAAACGACTGGTGGATGGTAACTCTGACCGTCAGTCAGCGTCTCATTTGTATCGAAAACTCTTCTCTTAGAATCTTAAACCTGAATTTACTCTTCCTTCACCCCCACTTACCCCCGACCCATTCTCTCCTGAAAATGCTTCCTCCTTCAACCCTCCAGATGCCTCAAAACTCTTCATAACCTTGAAGACTTCCATCAGGCTTATCCCTCAACAACAACAACTTGCATTTCTATAGCGCCCCTCAGACAGGGTAGCGTCCCAGAGCTGGGGGAGGGGACCTTAGGCACGGTCGAAGAGGAAGGTTTTCAAGCTTGATCTGAAAATGAGGAAGGAAGGAAAGGGAGCAAGGCAACAGCAGCTCACAACAGATCTCAAGCAGCAGGTCCTCAGATGGGATGTGACACTGACATTTTCACAGATCAAAGGATGCCGTAGCTGAGTGAGGCTTGGCAGTGACTTGATGTGACAGACACATGTATAACCCAGCATGGTTCTGGACAAAGAAAAGTCTCCATTTAACCCGTGCAGGTCTGACTGAAACAAAGACTCAAGCCTCCGGACTCGAACAATGCTAGAAGGTTTACAGCACAAAATTAGGCACAGCGCTATCTGATCCCGTTGCCCTAATCCCGGTTGTTAGTCGATTGGCTGATCGCTTTTCTGGGAGTAATAATCCCTTCAAATAAATAAACAATAATAATTTGGTCACTCAATCCATGACTGTTTGTGGGACACTGCTGTTCGCAATTGGCTGCTGTGTTTCCCCAACAAAATATACAGTATATTCTGTGCAGAACTTTGAGACGTCTCGAAGTCCTGGTAATATCAAATTCAAGGATTATTATAATTATTATATCTGTCTGCCTGTCCGTGCGTCCGTTGGTGGATGAAATTCCGTTCCCAGGATGTCAATATCAGGCATCAAAGCTCACCAAGCGAAGGGAGACAGCTAAGCACAGTCCCAATTGCCTCCCATGTTCTCTGTATCACTGATAGCAAGCTCTCTCTGCTTTTAAGATGTCTTTATCAGCTCCCAATGGCGATAGAGGGTGAGGACCCACAGCAAACACTTTTATTCTGGGCACTTTTCAAGCCCTCCACCGCCACCCCCACCGTCTATTCAGCTGTACGTCAAGTGGTGCAGATCAGAAAGGAATTTTCCTGTTGATTTGGATTAATCTGTTTGCTATTTCTAGTCGGCTGCGACTCTCTCTCAACCCTGTCCGGTCTGTCCTGTCTTCTGCCTCTCCGAAGCAGTCGATGGCACTGAAGTACTTACCTGATAAGCAAATGTTTCTCTTAAGTGGCTGGAAATTGAAAATGGAGCAGAACCATCTGCAGTGTCTCCAGCGGCTTCTCTGATGATCTCCTGGGCACCTAACCCTCCACTGTACAGCACTCCAAGAGGTTATCTTGTACGAAGGGAAGCTGTATAAATGCAAATTCGGGCTGTTGATTGATCAAGTTAGCCCAACACTAGAGGCAGCCAACCTCCGCTACACTGTCATGCCAACAGCCCTGTCTGTCTCTTCCAGTTATTGGAACTGCAGCCGGTCCCATTTATTGTAAGATTCCGACTGTTCACTTGATGGTTTTTCACTGAAAACCATTGTGATTTTGTTCGACCGAAAACCATTTCTTAAATTGCATCTTGGGCCTGTGTCATTGTAGGTTTCAGTTGAGATGGTTCAATTATTCTGACGTCACTCAGGGAATCTGTTACCGCAGTAACATTCTCTCTCCCCTCTCTCGCTCTCTCTCTCACTTTCTTTCCCCTTTTTACTCTCTCTTTCTTCATCTCTCCCTTTTTCTCCATCTCCTAAACCTCTCTGACTTTCCCTCTCCCTCTCTCCCCCCTTCCATCTCTCACTCTCTGTCTGTCTCTCTCCATTTCCTCCTCTCGATATCCCTCTCTTTCTCCCCCTCTCGCTCTCCCTCCTTCTCTCTCGCCTTCTCCACCTCCCTCTCTCCCGGTTGTTAGTCGATTGGCGGATCGCTTTCTGGGGGTAAGAAAAAATAATAATAATAATAATGTGGTCACTCGAATCACGACTATTTGTGGGACACCGCTGTTTGCAATTGGTTGCCCACAAAATATGGTGCAGTAAATCCACTTCACAATATAATCTGTGAAGTGCTTTGAGACATCTCAACTATATGATAAGGAGCTATATCAAATGCGAGGATTATTATTCATTAATATATTATTATGGCCTTGTTTTCTGGATGGGGATTGGGAGCTGGAAGGTGACTGAGGTCGGAGTGAGTTTTGGTGTGTCTGTCTGTGCTCAGTACCAGCTGATGCTCATCAGTAAGTAACAAAGTTCTCCATTTTCTGCTCTAGATTTTGCTGTTGGCTGACGGAAACCACCAGAGCTTCTTGTACAAGACTCTCCCCTTCCTGTCCGCGTTACAGATGAAAGGCGACAAAGCCACAGCCTACCTGTGCCAAGATCACACCTGCTCACTGCCAGTCACCTCAGCAGAAGAGCTCCAGTCGCTTATCATTAAATCAGATAAATGAAAGAGATGTGATGTCGGGTGGAACTGAGCGTCCCCTGTAACCTGCCCCAGAGCCTCCCTGCTTCTCTGCTCCTCTGCTTTGTTGGCCTTTCAAGTGGGGTCTCCTTGGAAGTGGGAATCGAGCCAGCCCTCTGTGGCGGTCTCCAGTCCAGTTCCTGAGCCTGGCTGTTCCGCAGTATTCCGGGGCACTCACTGCTGATGACGGCACAGCCCGGCCTGGCTCATCGGCAGGACCAAAAAATAAATAAGTTGGACTCCAACTACGCAGTCACTACACTTTTTCAGTATATCCTATGAAGCATTTTGAAATCATCTAACAGCACAGTCCAGGGTTACAAGCAGCCAATTCAAGGAAATTATGGATGGCTAATAATAATAGCGGCTTATCACGTTGTTGAGACGTCTCAAAGCTCCTCACAGAATATGCCGTAAATTGAATTGACTATATTTTGTGGGGAAAACGCAGCAGCCAATTGAGCATGGATTGAGTGATCATATTATTTAGGAGGAGGGATTATTACCCGCGGAAAGGGATCCGCCAATCAGCTAACAACCAGGTTCCTACTTACAGCTAGGTAAACAGACAAGTGTGCAGTAAGGAAACTTGCCTGAGGTTTCACCCTGCCCGGGAATCAAACCCAGTCCTCTCGCTTGCGAGGCCAATGATATAACCAATATGCTACAGGACTAATATCCCCTCCAATAAAATCTGTTAATTTCGATGTACATTTGATAGAGGAATTAAAATAGAATCTGGATGCATATCCTTTATTTGCTGACTTATTGAAAAGCTTGTTAGAACTTACTGCTGTGAGGGAAGCTGGATCTCATATAATCCAGGCGACTGTTGAGAAACACAGAACTCATTTCAAAAGAATCAGACTTTTCTAGAACTACAATGAAATTGGAATTTTATGGCTGGCTTAGGTAACGTATTTATTCAACTTCCTGTGCACTGTTAATGAACTCGGAGGTAATTAAAGATTAATGGACATTATTTCTCCATTATGACTTAAGTCAATTATTAATTTTAATTATCTTTCTGGTAACTCAAAGTTGGGGTTTGGGCGACTGCTGTGAAGTGACATCAGTGAGCTCAACACGTGCATGTGTGTGTGTGTGCACCTATGTGTGTATGTACGTATATGTGTGTGCTTGTTTGAGGGCTCATTTTCCTCTGATTTCCACAGAATGTCTTAAAACGCACAGAGCTGCTTCCTCAACGTCTGTTGATTCTCAATCAGTGTTTGGATGGTAAAGCCAGTGACGTTTACAAGAACAAAAGAGAGGTTTGGATGAAGAATATTGCCCAAATTGATCTCAGAATATACCCTGTCCTTCCATTAAGGAATTAAGAGTGTCCTGGTCTACGTGACTGTAGGAGGTAAACAACTGCACAGGAGTGATCGCCAGTCAACAAAGACACAAAGTAATGTGTAGGAAGCGAGGAGGTATTTAGCTTGTTAATTCCTAATGTTTCTTCATTGCTTTTCAGGGCCCAGGAGATGAGAATGTGTGTGTGTGTTTGTGGGTTGGAACTTAGCCCTCGGTAACTTTGATTAAAGGAGCGCACACAGAGCTCAGGGGCGATGACGCTGCTAATTTCCATCTGTTTGACATCCAACACTACCCCACTGTTCAAAACAGCCACGGTCACGAGAGACATGGATGACAGATTCAGCGGAATCAACACGCAAACCTGCGTCCCAGATTGAACAGGCTCGCAGATCAAGTACTACTTGGTTCAGGTAGAGTCCAGGACACCATGTGATTCTGAAAAGGACTTTATTTAAGCCGAGCTGTCAATCCCCCCCACCACCCAGCTCATCTGCTCCACTATTGTTACGCGAGTCAAAGACAGGTTGACCAAGGAGAGCTGATGCCTCAGGTTTGCCCCAGACCTGACAGCTCAGAGAAAAGTAATTGATGATAGTCATCAGACCTGTGCATTCTCACACCGCAGGTATGTTTAATTTTGAGATTTGAATTAAATATCTAATTCTGCAACTGCTCCAGTCCACTGTAGTCTTTGCTGACTCTTTGTGGCAGATTCAGACTGAGAACCAGGTGAAGATTATTAAACCCCCATCTAAAATCTGGTAAGCGTAAATAAGGCTACCGTTGATTTTGACATGTTGCAAAATTAGATATTTAATTCATTTAGGCCAAGTAGCCCATCAACACCTCTGATCTCATTATCTCTAACCCTAATTTATTTATTTATTTATTGACTTATTAATTTGGGATCAGAGGATGTTACTGGTAAATTCCCTGCACATTTAACCGATTTGCAGAGGTTCTGGCCATAGTTTTGTTCCAGTTTTAGCTGTGATGGCTTTGGGGTGCTGGGCTGGGAGGGGAAGCGAGCAGCTAGCCTTCGATGACAGAATCCATCTAAAGAAAAGAAACTCGTAACAAGTTTGCTCACCGTGATCTCTGACAGGAGTTGTTTCTTCGGTGAGGTGATGGCCTGCAATGAGTTGATGGTTTCCTTGACACTGTAATATGAAGAGTCGGTAATGGGGTTGAATGGCAGTACAAATATCCAATTAGATACAGTGTCAAGACCTCTATCCAATTCGTAGCTGAAGACAAGGGAGTGAAAGTACAAGCCATCTAGTTATCTATCTATCAGAAACAGTCAGCTTGATTTGCTACAAGGTACAGACTCTTTAACTTCTCTGTACTTGTGTTCTGTAGATGAACATCAACTGAGCTTTCATTCTCTCAGGGATTGTTGACCAGGACACTGGGAGAGAGAAAGTCCCTTGTCTTTTCGAACAGCACCGTGGGATCTTTAATGTCCACCTGAACAGGCAGATGGGACCTCGGTTTAATGTCTTATCCGAAGAACGGCAACTCCCGATAATGCAACTCCCCCAGGGTTGCACTGGAACGTAAGCCTAGACTCTGAGTCCAGTGTGGGGTTCAAACCCACAACCTTCTGACTCAGAGGGGAGAGCGCTATCGACTGAGCCAGGCTGACACCTAAACAAGTACAGGTTACAATCCAGCACAAAGTAAATGAACAGACTCAAGGGGTGAATTGTTTGAGGTGGGAGTGTGTAAAGCTAGAGGTGGGGCACATTGACTCACCGCTCTTATCTAATGTCTAATGATAAAGGAAAATCAGTAATGAGATTAACGGGAATAATTCACGTGTTAAACAGTGTATTGTAAGCAAAGAGGGAACATAAGAGACTTGGATCTCAAAATCATTTGGAAAACGTTTTAACACATTCGATCAATCACACCAGATGGAGATGAAGTATGAAGCCAAAGGACAGATTCTGCACTTTTTCTCTCAAGTTGCTGCAGTTTCTTCTTATAAAAAAAAACTCGGAAAGTTCTGCCTCACAGGGTTCTGTCGTGTTGTCATAGATTTCGTTGATGTGACTGTCAATGGAGCCCAGTACAGGGATAGCCCTCAATTAATCTTGTTCGGTGGGATGGAGGTGAGAGAAGTTGCTCTTTATGTTTCCAGGCAGATGGCCAGCCAGCACTGGGCAGCTGAGCAAATGGAGATTCTCGCCATCACCTGCTTCACGGATGAATTTGTTGAGACGTTAATAATAATCCTTGCATTTGATGTAGCGCCTTATCACGTCTTTGAGACGTCTCAAAGGGCTTCACAGAATACACTGTAAAGTGAATGGGCTAGATTTTGTGGGCAAAACAGCAGTCAATTGCACACCGCAGTATCCCACAAGCAGTCTTTGATTCAGGGACTAAATTATTATTATTCCTCTCGGCTCTGCCCGCCCTCTCTCAGCTCTGATGTGTGTTTGCTTACAGTGCCTGAGGTGCTGCACTCGCTGGAAGAGCAAGCAGTGAAATCAAGCATTTTTTTTCTTGAAAGCTCCAGTAATTACAGACGTGTTTATATGCTGCATTGAAGCTCCTGAATTTGACCTTTGTTTTGGTGATGATTTTGACTGTGGACTCGAGATAAGGACTCGCAGTCAAAGAGTCAGTTCCATTGCTGCAGTTGAATTTTTCTCTTCTCTCTGAGTAGGAACTGCCCTCTTGTTTTCTCCCATGACCGTTCATCTCAAGCCGTACATCGGGACCTGGCACTCACAGTCTAGGCTGATGCTCCAGTGCATTGCTGGGTAAGTGCTGTGTTGTTGGAGGTGTCGTCCTTCAGACAAGATATTAAACAGGTCTTGCCTCAGTTCTCTTCAACCGTGCCTTCAGCTCCCCTCTCGACTCTCCACCCCCTCCTCGCTCCCTCCCTCCCCTCACCCTGACCATTTCCCCCCTGCTCGGGTCCTGACCCAACTGTCCAGCGCCTTGGGACGTCCTCCCGATGTGAAAGGCGCTCTATAAATGCGATCTTGTTGTTGTTGTTGACCTCTTCCAAGTGAATGTTAAAAACCCAGTGGCACTATTGGAAAAGAGGAGTTTCTCTTGGTGTCTTGGCCAACAATCCTCCAGATAAATCAGTCTTGTCTCTGTGACGGGTTGGATCAGAAGCATTGCCTGGCATTTGACTGGGAATAAGTTCAAAGACAAAATGGCATCTGGTCCACATCCTGCTGACATAAGTGAAGGAGGAGATATCAACAGAAGATGTTTTTTTCCAAATAAATTATCTGTCGAGGGAGGAATTCTTTGAGTAAGTAGCTGTCAGTAATGGTACTTAACTCTTCAAGCGAGCTCTCCTGTAATCACACAGGCAGCACTGACAGCACTCACTGCGAATAAAGCACTGAGAATAAACTCCCTCACGTCTCCTACTGTGTGAATCATACCAGCACGTCTCCTCGTCACACCTGATGTGATTGGGAAAACATTACTCGCCCATTTCCACCACAACAGAGAAGCTCAGACGTGACTCAGTCCCACGAGGTGTGCAGACATTAATAATAATAATAATCCTTGCATTTGATATAGCACCTAATCACGTCGTTGAGGTGTCTCGAAGCGCTTCACAGAGTATAACGGGTAGGGTGTTCCTAGCTGGACAAGCAGTGGGAAGCTTGCCAGTCAGTACTCTCAACGGCAAGCTATTTGGTTTTAGCTGGTTAGACTCCAGCAGTTACAGCGACGCACACTCTGGGGTCCCCCCCCCAAGCCTTGGCTCTTGCCAACTGGTTCCTAATATTGGAATTGGGTAAGCGGGATGTGTCTTTCTCTGGCAGGGATTATTACCACTTGCTCCAGGTACAGGGAGATCTTCAGCCCAAGGACGGACCCGAGTCCTCACAGCCAATGTC